TGGGGCAGTCATCGCCGCTAGCAGCATCTACAGTGTCGCGCTGTGCTACATCGACCAGAACGGCGTAGTGGACCTACGGATTCATGTTTTGTAGTAGACTACTATTTCGCTGTACAGATGGATTGCGAGATGGATTACGTATGGATTTCAGTGGACTACAATTGATTTGCGAGTGGAATTATATGTTGCAGTGGATTTGTAATATGACCAGAAGACGGAGCGGTTTTATTATTCTGCTGTACACATCGACCGAGAGCACGATGACACACGGACCGATCGACTACGATGGCGTGCCATTCTCGTGGGGGGGGACCCGTAGCGCCCATGCGGGTGGGCACGATCCCTCAAAGGCGACGGAGCGTGCCTCCCCTCGAGTATTCTTACTGGTTTTATAACTCTTGGCTCCTATGTTTTGATGCGTACATACCTACCTGGGCAAAAGTAATAAAGCACCCGGCTTATCATTGGACGTATTATGTTGTTTCCCAGCAGGTGGGCAGCAAGTTTGACTCGAGCAGCGCGGGCTTGGGCGCTACATCAGCATGCAGCATAAGCCGTACTACCTCTGCCAGCATGTGGGAGTCGAGTACCACAAGCGCCGATGAACAAGCAACACCGCGTCGACCAGCTTGACGGTACTGAGCACGACCACGGCGGGTACTACAGGGCAGCCCGTGGCAAAGAGCGTCTGCGACGACGAGCACTTTGGCGTCGGGACTCAAGTCCTGAGGAAGCCCCGAATGCGTGGGAACACCTCGGGCAGCGTCGCCAAGTTTTGCATGATGTCAGGACGTAAGTCCTAGGGGAGCCCCGAATGCGTGGGAAGACCCCAGGCACAAGTCGCTACGTTTTGCGGTATGTACCTTGGCATGGATCGTACGTATACAACTCAGTGGATACCAGCTGGTCAGACGGTGGGCGACTGCTACGAACATACCGCGCCACTCATCGACCACTACCACATCCCTGGTATGCCCCACTACACCTCTACAAGTCAACGCTGCCCTGGTGAGGCACCCACCAGGGGATATGGTGAGGGGCAGGGGGGGGGGGGGGGTAGGACGTCCACTACCTGCGCCCCCGCGGTCCGCCCTAGCTCGCCACCCCCACCATCCCCATGGCGGAGGAGGAGCTACCCGAGCGCCCACTGGGCGAAGCGCAGGACAGCTGAGACATCCCACACCGACAGAACGCAAGCACCAGGCCTGGGGTTCGCCCCCACCGAGGGCACCGTGACCCCTAGCCATAGCGGGACGAGGTGGGGCCGCCGCGAACCCCACTTGAAGTCGGTGCATGGAGGCCTCATATGTGCGCCCACGCCCCACAACACAACTCCAGCAACAAGCCGATCGCCCAACGACCCTGACCAGCACGCACAAAAAGCAGATACAATGGCGGGGGAGCTCTCCAACGACCTACCACTCAGCCAGCATTTCCCGCCACCACCGACGACTAGCACGTCTGAGCCGAGCATTACATGATGAGGACCATCGAGTCAAGCACCACCTCATCAATGAACGCGACTGGGTCGGGTACCACAGGATCGACGCCATACTTGCATGCTGTAAGCCGATGACCACCATGATGGAGTCGAACACCACAGCTCACCAACTGACTATCAGCCGAAGGCCACCAAACCGTCTACCCACCACCACTACCCGCATCATCCTGATGACCACCATGATCGAGCCGTGTCACACCGTGAACTACAGAGCCAAGCTGTACCACGGTGACCAGCACGTCTGCGGCGAGCAGCACAGCTCCGAGGGCCGCAGAGTCAGGCAGCGCAACTTCGACCTATACGACTGGGTCGAGTACCGTGGGTTTGCGCACTTCGGAGGCCAGCAGTACCTCTGGTTCGCGAACTGCCGTGCGGCCGCCGGCCCACGAAGAGGCCGACGACCTGGCCGCGCGCCGTGCAGCGCTGCCTGAGTGGGCGGCCGCGCGCGGCGCACGCTGAGGGCCCTGTTGGGCCCCCTTCTTTTTTGAAAACCCGGCCCCTTCCTCCCCCTCCGAGATTTTATTGGTCCCTGGTCCTCCCCCTCCCTCGGGGTCGGGTTCCCGGGGCCGCCGTCTGAGTGCCCGCACGGCCCTGATGGGCCGCTGCGGAGCGCTCCGCGCCCGCGGGGCGCACGACAAGACGCGGCCTAGCGAGAAACGGCAGAAACGGCAGGAGGAGGAAAAGGAGGAGGAGGAGGAGGGGGAATATGCGTGTGTGCTGTTCTCTCGTCAGCCCGGGGCCGCCGCCCCCCCGCGGCGCGGGCCGGGCCCGCGCCGTGCCTTTGGCGCGCCGGCGCGGCAGCCGCGGCGGCGGCGAGGCAGGCCCGCGCCGCCGGCCTCGCGCGGCGGCCCGCTGTGGGCGTCGAGGGGGCGGCTCAGCGGGCCCTGGAAACGACAGGGCTCCTCCTCCTCCTCCTCCTCCTCCTCCTCCGCCTCCTCCGCCTCCCCCTCCTCCTCCTCCTCCTCCTCCTCCTCCTCCTCCTCCTCCTCCTCCTCCTCCTCCTCCTCCCCCTCCTCCCCCTCTCCCTCTCCACCTCCTCCTTCCCCCCTCCTCGTCCTTCCTCCTCCTCCTCCCTCCTCCTCCTCCCTCCTCGTCCTCCTCCTCCTCTTCCTCCTCCTCCTCCTCCTCCTCCTCCCTCCTCCCTCCTCCTCCTCCTCCCCTCCCCCCTCTCCCCTCCTCCACCCTTCCTCCTCCTCCTCCTCCTCCTCCTCCTCCTCCTCCTCCTCCTCCTCCTCCTCCTCCTCCTCCTCCTCCTCCTCCTCCTCCGCCTCCTCCTCCTCCTCCTCCCCTCCTCCTCCTCCTCCTCCCCCCCCCTCCTCCTCCCCTCCTCCTCCTCCTTACCCTCCTCCCCTCCCCCTCCCTCCTCTCTCCTCCCCTCCTCCTCCTCCTCCTTCTCCTCCTCTCTCCGCTTCCACCTCCTCCTCCTCCCCCTCCACCTCCTCCTCCCCCTCCTGCGTGGGCCCTGGAAACGACAGGCAGTTTGGTTACCGATTCCGCTTTGCCTTCTTCTTGCCGGTTCCGACGCCGTTTGTTTGCTGGTCTTGTCGCCGTGTTTTTTTGGCCGATTCCGGCTCCGGTTCAATCCTCTAGAGCCGTTATTGTTGCCGTTTCCGGTCGCCGTGTTTTCTTCTGCCGTTTTTCATCTCCAAGGGACATTTGTTGGGGGAACCGGTGCAAAAAAACTCGACGTTTCCGGGGCCCACAGGGGCCAGGGGCCCTGTTCTCTCGCTCGGGTCGACCGTCCTGCAGCCCGAGCGTAGCAGCAAGCCAGTGGTGAGCAAACCGCACGACGGATCGTCAGAGGAGGGATTGGTACCCACACGGCTGCCCTATCCTTGTTTTCGCCTCTCTGGGCCTCCTCGGAGGCTCTCGTCGCCACCGCTGGATTCGCCTCAAAATTTTGGTCAGAACGCAACCCGGGAAAAGTCTGGGGAGTAGCGCTTTCGGTACTTTTTGGCTTCCCCGCAAGCTGGTGGTCAGCAAGTCGCGCAACTGACTAGACACGCATCCACACTTAGATTCCGAGTGGCAGGACGTGCCTGTATCCACCGTGGCCCCCGGGACCTGTGTACGGTGGGGCGCAGAGGGGGGAACAGCTCGGCTCAGGAGGGGCTCTGGCTCCTGGGCCGCTCCTCGGAGAGCCGCGTCGGGCCGCTCATAGGCCGCTTCTCCTCCTCCTCCTCCTCCTGGTCCTCCTTCTCCTCCTCCTCCTCCTCCTCCTCCTCCTCCTCCTCCTCCTCCTCTCCTCCTCCTCCTCCCCCCTCCTTCTCCTCCTCCTTCCTCCTCATTCTCATTATCCTCCTCCTCCTTCCTCCTCCTCTCCTGCTCCCCCCGTCCCTATTCTCCGCTCTCTACCCCCTCCGATTCTCCACCTCCCCCATCATCCTCACTCCTCAACCTCCTCCGCCTCCTCCTCCTCCGCCTCTTCCTCCTCCCCTCCCCCTCCTCCTTCTCCTCCTCCTCCTTCTCATCCTCCTCCTTCTCCTCCTCCTTCTCCTCCCCCTCCTCCTCCTCCTCCTCCTCCCCACCAGGGGCTGGGGCGTCAGATCCGGCGGTCTGGCGCGCTTTGCCCCTGGCCTCTGGGGGTCGTGGCGCGATGGCGTGCCAGCAGCGGGCCGCCGGCCTTCTGGGTGATCGTTCGGGCGCCCTCCGACGCTGCTGGGGTCGTTCTGGCGCCCTCCCGCGCACGCCTCCCCTCTAGAAACAGAACCATCCAGAAGCGTAAACTGGTTGGGCTCGGCGCGGGTGTCTTGGATCTGCGCTGGCGGCGCCTCCGGCGCCGCCCGTGGCGCCAGAGGCGCGACAGGCATTGGAAACTTACACAGATCCAAGAAATCCGCTCGGACCTCCAGCAGTTGATCTGTTATCCCTATATCCCGCGTTCAGTCGTCCTCCTCCTCCTCGCCTCCTCGCCTCCTGCTCTCGCGCCTCCCCCTCCCTTGAGAAGAAGTGGATACGTACTTCAGGTACACCGTCTTCTGATGCACCCAGCGCGCTTGGCCCTCGGGAGGTTCCGCGAAGAGCTTGAGGCCGAAGGGTCCTCTTTCTCCCTTCTCCTCACCTCTGCTCCCCTGGTCCGCCCTCCTCCCCGCCCCCCCCCTGTTCGTCTTCCTGTCCTCCTCCTCTCCCGACGGAGGCGAGTGACCTGCAGCAGGGGATGCCGCGAGAGGCTGCGTTCCGTGCTCCGCGCGAGGGGCTCCGTCCGCCTCCTCCCCCCTCCTTCCTCCCCCCCCGCGCCCTCTCCCTGCCTGTTTCCTCCCCTCTCCCTTCCCCTTCCCCTCTCCTCCCCCTCCCGCTCCTCTCCTTCCCTCCTCCTCCTCCTCCTCCCATGCCCGCCTGCCCCCCCCCCCCGCTCCCCTTTCCTCCTCCTCCTCATCCAATTTCCTCCTCCTCGTCCCCCCTCCTCACCCTTCTCCTCGTGTCCCCTCCCCCTGCTCCTCCTCCCCCTCCTCCCTCCCCCATGTGGGGGGGGGGCGCGCGTCGGAGTCGAGGGGGGCAGGTCACCAACATGCTCGTGGGCGGCATCAACCTCCCCCCCACGCTGAAAGGTCTGCCAGGGGCCGGGGGGGGGGGGAGGGCGGGCGCAGGTCCCTGCGCGGGGCGTGCTCGCCAGGGGGGTGGGGCGATCTCCTCCCTTTCGGGGCCCGACCTGAACAGTGTTTTGGGCGATGTCGTGGGCAGAGTTCGTTTGGACTTCGTTCTGCTGCGAAGGCGGAACAATGACAGAACGAGGGACAACGAACACAAAACAAAAACGAATCATGCTGTTCTGGTCGAGCCCCGCTTCCTCTTTCTCTCTCTCTCTCTCTCTCTCTCTCTCTCCTCATCCGTCCTGATTCCTCCATCCGCATCCCCATCAAGACCCCCACCGTCTCAGCACCCCAGTTTGCGACACATCCCTCGAAACCCAGCCCATATCCCAAACCAAGGGGGTCAACCGGCCAGTGTGTCCCAGGCCGTGACGTTGGGGATAGGGGTCGGATTTCGACTGATGACAAGCCCCGTTTCTCTCTCTCTCTCTCTCTCTCTCCTCCTCCTCCTCCTCCTCCTCCTGCCTCCTCCTCCTCCTCCTCCTCCTTCCTCTCCCCTCCTACCCCTCCTCTCTACCCCTCCTTCCTCCCCCTTCCTCCTCCCCCCTCCTCCTCCCCCTCCTCCTCACTCCTCCTCCTCCTCCTCCTCCTCCTCCTCCTCCTCCTCTCCCGACTCCTACCTTCTGCCGCTCAGCCTTGCTCATATTTGTCTCATCAGGGTGTGCTTCAACCCAGAGTTCGGCTCGGCTATGTGGCAACGGTGGCGGCTGAGGCATGCTGTTTGCTCCTGTCCCTTCCTTCCAACAGAGAACCCCCCCCGACCCTGCCTGCCACTGGAAGGCACGCAAGCACGGAGTATCGGAGGTGGACAGACCTCCTACCCTGACACGTCGATGAAGGAATTGGCCGTTTCCAGTTCGTGAGAGGGCGTCGCGGCCGTCCTTTTTGCGGGTCCAGGCCCGTCGGTTTCGGTCCCAGGCCGCTTTCACGAATGGGAGGTTTACTAAAGCTGGCCACGCGCAGAAGGGGGTAGGGGGAGGGGGGAAGGCTTCTTAGAAGCACCCCTGCTTCTTAGAAGGCGCGGGCCTTCTTTGTAGATGTCAGGCCAGCGCCTTCTAAGAAGCAGCCTCCTTCTAAGAAGCCTCCCCCCCTCCCCCTACCCCCGTGTGCGCGCCGCCAATCAAGAGAGGTCTGTTCACCGCCGAGAGCAGGGCGCGTGGGTGGGCGGCACGGCCCCGCCCCCGTCCCGAGTCGACGCGCTCCGTCGCCAGGCGAGGCTGCGCGTGGCTCCTGCTTCGTTGGTTCGTTCCTCCCTCCTCCTCCCTCCTCCCTCCTCCTCCTCCTCCTCCTCCTCCCTCCTCCCTGCTCCTTCCTCCTTCCTCCTTCCCGCTTCCTGCTCCCTCCCTCCTGCTTCCCGCGTCGGCGCCCACGCGCCGGGCGAGGCCACCTCTGCTCGGCCACGCGGAGGCGCCAGGATCTCAGGGCCTTTCCAGGGCGCCACGTGCGAGCCCTACCCCTACCCCCCACGATTTTTGAGGGGGGGATGGGGATCACTTCGCTCGGGAGCTCTCGAACGAAGTGAACCCCACCCTCCCCCTCAAAAGTCGTGGCGGGCAGGGGTAGGGTTCGCATGTGGCGCCCTACCTCGTAGGGGAGCAACAAGTGGCATAAACGCAACAACTCGGAGGTCCGCGCGGATTTCTCGGATCGGCGCTGGACCCCCCTCCCTGGCGCGCGGAGCGCGCCAGGGGCGGTGCCGGAGGCGTCGTCGGGGGGGCCCAGCGCGGATCCATAAAATCCGCGCGGAGCCCCAAAAGTTTATGTTTATGGCTTTATGCTCATGGCGATCCACGAATCCCTGATTCACGTTAGCGTTATGTCTGGCCTGTTCCCAAATAGTCAAAAAATAGTCTGGGGGCTATTCTTTGAGTATTCTCTGACCGTTTTGGAGTATGTCTTGAGTATTTTTTTTATTTTTTCGTCGAAAATCCCCCTGTAGGGGGACACGCCCAACTTAAATCTGGCGCCCACGCGCCAGGTCCACGAATCCCTGACTCACGTCAGCGTGAGCCCGAGCCGCCGCCGCAGGGCCAGGGTCGCACTGACACGGGTCTGCCTGCAGGATCTTGCTGGTTTTGCAGGATCTTGCAAGGCCCGACTGACCCAGGTTTGGATTTACCAGGGTCAGTAGATACCCGCACCGCACGGTGCGCGGGCAAGCCGACACGTTTCTGAGGCGTGCGGGCGAACCAGCATGTTTGTTGGTTATCTTCCCGATGTGTGTCCCCTGGACAGTCCCTGCGTGCATCTGTTCAGAATGATGCTCGCATGCGCGACCTATGATCGCATCCAAGGATGTCGGGCTTTTTGTCCACCTCCCCCCTCTCCCCTCCCCGTCCGCCTCCGCCAAGACTCCTGTCGTCGTGTAGCACGGCATCCGCAGCTTCCTGCTCTTGCTCAGCATTTTGTCCGAACCATCCTGCTGTGTTGGGTCTTCGTTTTGAAAAGACAGCGCCGCGCGTCCCTCCCACCTCCTCCTCCCGCTGTCCTCCCTCCCCATCATCAGCATCACCGTTACCATCATCACCTCGACGCCCACCAACAACATCATCATCAACATGATTCATCATCACCATAACATCATGCTTCTTCTTATCCCCATCGCGCCCGGTGATTGCAGTCGTCTGCAGCTTCTCGGCCCGAGCTTGCCCCGCTTCGGCCCCCGCCGCCCCTCCCGCGCCCGCGCGACCAGGGGCGCCGGGAGCCTGCGCCGGCCCCCGCTGCTCAGGTGTCCATCGACTTCTACGCGGCGGCGGCTTTCTTCTCGGACCACGCGTGGGCCGCCGCCCAAGGCGGTGGTCCACTCTCCCCCCTCGAGCGCGGTATTGCACGGGGCCCACTTTCCCGTCAATCCGTTCTCGTGTGGGGCGAGCCCGACTGCGCCGAGCCGCCAGTCGGTGACGGCACGGGGTTGCCTCCCTGTTCGGGTTGGCTCGCGCCACTCCTTCCTGCACGCCGCTTGCCTGCAGGCGGGGCGCTGGCGCGCCCCTCAGGCCACCTGTCCTACAGGCGCCTGTCGCCAACGGCCTCCTGGCCCATGGCGTCCGCGGCTGCACCCCCAGCTTTCCGCGGTGCCGACCCGCCGCGCTGGTGCCCCCCGACGGGCCCGCCGCCTCCTCTGCAGCAAAACCTTCCTCCACCTCCCCCTCCTTTCTCCCGCCATTCTTCCCCTTCGTCCTCTGGGGTGGCGGAGTTGGAGACTCATGGGAGGACCGGAGGAAGGAGAGGTGGAGCTTGCACGCCATGTGCTGCGGCACCTGATCAGTCCAATGTCTCACGAGGTGCTCCGGCGCACAGCTCCTACGCCCGCCTCCCGATGGCCCCAGACGGCGCACTGTCTCTGCCTGCCAGTCGCGCCGCCAGCGAAGCCACTGCCGATGAGAGCATCCCTCAGAGCCGCCCTTCAGAGGGCACAGGCGCCAACGGTGCGAAGACAACCGCGCCATGGGTGGAGGGGCCGGAGTTGGTGGACCCTTCTAACCTCCACCTCCTCGCTACTCCTTCTCCTCCCCTCGCCGCCTCGCCCTGGCTCAACCTTGATGCTTGGCGGAGCAGCCCTCGTGCGGACACCTGTGGCTTCGAGGTCGCTGAAGGCTTTTCTTGTCCCGCGGGGTGGGGCGCCGGCGGCGCTACGACGATTCCGCCCTATCCTGGCTGGGACGCTCCAGCGCGCGAGCCGCCCGACTTGCCTGGGCTGGCGAGTACGGTGCAACGCCCCCGCCCGCCTCCAGGGCTGGATCCTCCACCGCTTTCCATGAACTTGCAGGCGGACTCGCCGCCAGGCTTCGCTGGGCTGGAGGGCGCCCCGCTCGCGATGGGGCCGTTCCCCACTCTCGCTGACGTGGAGGCTGGTGCTCGCGTGCCCCCGTCAAATTCCATGATCGCCATCGCTCCGACCTATGGGGTTCACCTGTCAGGAGGTGCCAACTCGCAGTGGACTTTCATCGAGAAGCACGTTTCGCACCCTCTGGTGCGCACTTCCTTTCTGCCGCCGATGCACGCGTGGGACCCGCGCACGGGCTCCGACATTCAGAGCGTGGCTCCGCCACCAGGCTTCGCCGGCTTGGAAGCTGGCGCACGGGTGCCGCCTTTGGTCGACTCCCGCGCGTCCGATGCAGCGGGCGGGGGTCCGTGGCTTAGCGGCGAGCGTCTGCCGTGCACCGGGTCGTCGCCACTGCCGTTTTGGCGCCCCACGGCCGCCGTCGGTGACCGCGCGGCTGGCGGAGCCGCCGTGAGTGCGGAGTCGCCTCCTGTCGGTGGTGGCTCGCCGTCCCACGTCGGGCGGGTTGGGCCGCCGCCGGGCCTCGCCGACCCACAGGCGGGAGTTCATACGCACCCGTCTCTCCACCCTAGCAATGTTCGCCCGGCCTCTTTGACTGCACAACCGAACCTGGAGTCCGCCGCCGTGGCGCCGCCGTCGACGCACGTCTGCGCGACCGCTGCCTTGGTTGGGACTCCGGCGCTTGTCAGCAGTATTCACCTGGTCGCTACGCCAGGCGGTACCTCGACGGCTCGGTGTCACCATCCGCGACATTTCGCAGACGCTCGGTCTAAGCGGGGGTCCATCCACGCCCCCGATGGGCCCGCCGCGCCACGATGTGGCGGTTGCACTGGAGCCAGGCGCCACCGCTGGTGCATCCTGGGCGGCCCGCGCAGCGGTTGCTCGCGAGTCATCCTCGACGCCCCCCCTGCTGCCACGATGGGGGTCGGTGGGCGGGGGGTCGCTTCGAGCGCTTCGGACGCGGATTCTGCTCCCAGACGCGCCACTGGCGGGCCCCCAGCGATGTTCGGGGGACCCCCTGCTGTGCACGCGGTCTCGCTTGCGAGCAGTCCCACCACAGCGAGGGCGCCCACTGCCATCGGTAGCGTGGTGGACGCGCCAGAAACGCCCGTCCGCAGTGCCTCGACCGAAGCTGCGATCCCCACGCCTCGGGGCGCTTGCACTCGGAACGCAGCGG